GCTCCAGTAGCCAAGATTACTATAGTCTGTGTTCTTTTAGCCCTCTCTGCTGCTCACTCTTGGATGATCTTTCAATTGGATATGAAAAATGCCTTTTTACATGGGCTTCTAAAAGAAACAATATATATGAAACCTCCTCCAGGGTATTATAGTGATCCCTCCCTCGTTTGTCGGCTAAAGAAGTCCCTTTATGGGCTCAAGCAAGCCCCTTGAGCTTGGTTTGAAAAATTCAGAGATGTTGTTGTGCAAGTTGGATATAGCCAAAGTGCATCAGACTACTCTCTTTGTTCGGAAAAGACCCCAGGGCCTTACCATTCTCTTACTGTATGTGGATGACATATTGTTGATTGGAGATGATATAGAAGGAATCCAGGACCTCAAGTCGCTTCTCCACAGTTCCTTTCACATAAAAGATCTCAGCCCTCTTAACTATTTCTTGGGACTTGAAGTTCAATGGAGCTCTTGAGGTTATTTTGTCTACCAACACAAGCATGCCTCTGATCTTGTTAAGTTGGCCAACCTCACTGATGATAAATAGGTTGATACTCCCTTGGAGCTGAATGGCAAATTATTCAAATTAGAAGGCTCCCTACTTCTTGATGCTTCCCTCTATCGTCAACTTGTAGGGTCTCTCATCTATTTGACAATGACTCGTCCTGACACCTAACGGTGCATTGAATCATCCGCTATATGTGAGGCTCTTTATCACAGGGTCTTTTCTTCTCTTCATCTTCTTCTCTCCAACTAAAGGCCTATGCTGATGCAGATTGGGCTAGATTCCCCGACACATGCCGCTCCACTACCAGGTGGTGTGTCTTCATGGGTGACTCTAATTTCATGGAAATGCAAGAAACAACAGACTGTTTCCAAGTCCTCTACAGAAGCAGAGTTCAAGGCAATGCCATTTATTTGTAGTGAAGTTGTTTGTTTTCAATCTTTATTTCAGGAATTGGGTCATTCCTCTCCTACACCCATTCCTCTGTATGCGGATAACACTAGTGCTATTAAGATTGCCTCTAATCCTGTCTTTCATGAAAGGACAAAGTATATTGAGGTGGATTGCCACTTTATCCGCGACATGTTTCTTGCAAACTCTATCTCTCTCCCTCATGCTGCCTCTGATATGCAAGTTGTTGACATCTTCACAAAGGCCATGACGAGATCCAAACACTTATTTTTTGTAAGCAAACCGATGCTCATGCCTCTGCATTAGTTTGAGGGGGAGTGTGAAACTCCCTAATGTACCATTTTATTGTAGTCCTTATTGTATTGTTTTCTTTTATTTATTATTTTTTTTTCACTTCAGCCCTTCAAGGGCCTCTCTTTAAATTCTCTATATAGTGTTGCCCTACAAGGGCCTCTCTATAATATCTTTAATTTTACTTTCTATATAAACGACCCTTGGGGTAGGGTTGAATCATCCATTCTTCATCCCTAGAATTCTGCATTCTGCTCTGGGTGTATTGACAGTGAGGCCCATGTAGCAGGCCAATAACTTAGTAAAAAGCTATAAGGTGCTCCCACTATTTATTAAAATTGAAATAGAATGGTTCTTGAGCTTGTCTTCAATCCTCATCATCCTCAACTTAGTTTGGTTGGTCAAAGCTTGCAATTATATCTTTGGGGTCTCTTCCTTGTCTTTTGAGTTGTTATCGTCTGGTTGCTTGGGATCAGTTGTCTCATCTTCTTCGTCATCCATGCACAAGACAAAAATCTTGTTGCTTCTTACATTTATGACTGGGAGAGAACTTGTCATCACAGTTGTGGAAGAGCTGACACTTTCTACAGGCCTGCATCTTTAACTAACTTAGCTTCTCCAGTTAGTCATTCATTGGAAGTTGGGATCTGGCTTGTTTGGCTTTGCATCCTTTCATTTTAGGTCTAGCCAGGGTGGTGATTTATGGATGGGCTCGTGCTACTGCTGTAGTCTCTTCAATCAATTAAGTCATTCTTCTTGTAATCGGATTAGGCTTGTAGCAACCATAGCCGTGGCCAGTTGCAATGCCTTGACTTCCAGCCAGATGATCTCCTGGAGCCCTCCAAAACAGACGAGTGCCTTCTCTGGCTAGTTAGAAACATAAGAGGCTAACATCTCACACTTGTTTTGATACTCTTTGACCAAATAATGCTATTTTAGCTTCAAGATTAACTGATTCGAATCCTCATAGTTGGATAGGCCAAATTTGGAACATAGAGCCTTTGAGAAATCCGATGACGACAATTGGGGATGAGTTTGATGATATCATTCATTGGTACCACAATATTGCCTAATTTGCCTCCTCTTCCATATGGACAATGGCAACTGCAACTCGTTGGTAGCCCAGGGTCTCATTGTATTCGAAGAATCACTTGGCCTTGAAAATCCATGAGATAGGGTTGTCTCCGGAGAAGAGGGAGAAACCCTTTTTCATTGATGCTCATACTGGTTGGACATCACTGTAATGGGGTTCTTTATCTCTTGTACCTCACTGGTAACCTTTTGTAATTCTCCTTCAATCTTTGTTACCTGTTCATCCATTGCTGCTGACATAGTTGTCAAGATGATGCCTAGGCAATAAGGCATTCTTGGAGGGTTGCCTTGCCCAATCACCTACATATAATATTTAATGCACCACATAGTATTTTTATATTTTTATTTTATGATATTAATAGGAGTACAATTTATATTAGACTAAATTATTCATATTGTGGGTTTATAGCATTAATATGATTATTCTTATACTAGTTTCTTTTTATTATTTCCTTATTTGTTTGGGTTCAGTTGATACAGAAGCCAGTGGCAGTCTTGAACCCTTTAGGACTTTAAAACCTGAATTGATAAGTAAGAAATAACTTGAAGATTTTATATAATTGACACACAAGAACAATCAATAGGACTTCACATAATCTTTTGCTTCTTCCTAGGACCAAAACAAGGGCTTAACCCCTATGTTTTGTATGTTTTCTTTCCTTTCTTATTTTTCTTCTCATAAATATGTTGATTTTCTATCTTTTGATGTGGGGTTTATACTTTTCATGAGGATTATGGTAATTATTAGTTAAAGATAGTTGCTTATTGCTATGAAACCTAGGGAGCTATCATAAGTATATATATATATATATATA